TAACATGCCCTTCTATGAGTGCCACTACTACAAGGCTCTCTCTCAAAAACTGCCATGAATGGGAATTTAAATATTGATGCTCTAATTGAGACATATGAAATGGAAGAAAAAGCACATATTGAGTCAAAGATCAAGCTAAGAAGCTTCCCTTCTGAGCATCCTTGATATGCAAGAAAAGTCCACGCTTCAACATCCAAACAAGGAGATACTCTAGAAATTCCTCTACAATTAGATCTTGATTTGCTTCTTAAACCTTATCAAAAGAGCCAAATGGCCACCTAAGCTAAAGGAAAGACAAGCTCAGGCATGGAGCTTGAGAAAAAGGATAAAAAAGAAGTCATGAATACTATTATCTCTATCACTCAAAGAAACGAGCAAAATCATAGTGAACATTAGAAGCTATGATTTATCTTTCTAATTCTTTTACCGTTTTACGAAAACAACAGACTTTAGTCTCATGCACATGTAATATAAACTAGATTTAAAAAAAAAAACTTTGGTTAGGTAAAGTTGAATAGTATATAGTAGTAGCTCTGGCAAATCTAAAGCTACCAAACAGAGCCTAAAGGCTTAAAAAGCTTGGTACAACCCCTTAAAAGCACGCAAAGCCTCTGACCACAATAGCTCATGTTAAAAGAGAAACACCATTTACTAAGCAATCCAAGCAAGAAAAAGCTTTTGAGTCATAGAACTCAACTCATGATACAAGAGCAATGCTTCCAAGTCATAAAGCTCATTAAATAATCAAAGCAAGTAAAGGTTCCAAACCATAAACTCAGCTTGCAATACAAAATGTCATATTGACCTAAAGGCTTATCCTCATTTTAAACCATGTTGTCGTCTAATAAACCAACTTCTTTAGAAGGCTGCAAGCAAAAAATCTGAATATACAAAAGCCTAAAACTCACTGTAACTTAATCATGTGGCTCAAGTCCACACAGCTATAGATAGTAAGCAGACAGAAGCCTCACACCCACCTTAAGAGGCTTCTGAATGTGGATATGTAGACACAATAGGAGGAATAACAACTACAACGGCCTCAATCATATCAATCGGCGATGTCAATCCAACAAAAAACAATTGTCATAGAGACATTGCTAAAATTCCTCTAAAAGAAGTGGCTTGACCATCACAACGAACCTTATAGAAGAAAACAATTGCACAGACAACTTCATTTCAACCAAATTCTCTAGTGGATGGGGTTCTAAGTGAGGGTCTGGACTGAGTGGTAAAATCTTCACCCATATTAAAAAATAAATTGTGTCGAACAAGCAAATCCATACACTCAAAGGGTTCTTTCAAATTATTGATACCAAGTCAAGTAGAATATGCAATATAGGAATAAAGAAACAAAAAAACTCAATCAAGTGAGACAGAATAGCAAGATCAAGTCATCTTGGAGTACTCGAATAGCTTATATATTCCATGACTAAAAAGACACTGTCCTAACAGATGCTCGAGGAGAACTCCCAGTCAGACTCCTAAATTAAATGCTTTCAAGCAAACATCTAAGAAACACCTAATAGTGATAGTCCAACCTCCTTACATATCTTGGAATGCTTGGCTCGACTTGAATGAAGATCAAGATTTAAGTTACAAAAGCTAGACAAAATAGGGGTTGGTAAATGATGCATGTGATGCCCGCAAAATGGTCTAATGGCTTCTCAAAAATCCTAAGGATGTGTCACAAATGACACATGTAGAGAATGGAACAAGAAACAATGGTAACAACACCCCAAAATTGGCTACATGAGTTCTTGACATGAAAAATTGAGATAACAAAGAATTAAGATATCTCAAATGAAAAACGGCAACTGATGCGGGCAAAAGATATAGGGAGCCTATACCCTTCGCCCACAAAAGACACGACGGACTTCTAAGGACGAAAATGAGAAAAGGCGAGAAAAGCAGGAGGACGAACAACAATAGGGAAGAACAAACTCTTATATTTCAAATAAAATTAAATAAAAGAAATTACAACGACGACTTACAAACAACACGACAGACACCCTAAAGTTGCTGCACTTTGAGAAGAAGGATACAGGTGGAGTGGCACTTGCGGAGAGACGAAGAGATTAGAAGCCCGAGAAGAAAGGGTGGAAAGAGCCCACAGGATTTCCGGAGAGGATGAGAAAAGAAGGTTGGAAAGAGCCCGCAGGATTTCCGAGCAACCCGCAGGTTAACAAAGATTTTTTTTCCAAAAATCAAATATCATTCAACTATTTCAAACATTACATAGCCCCCCATATTTATAGGTATGAAAGGGGAATACAAAAGGACACAAACACTTAATTAACACTTAAAACTAAACATTAAAAAGCATAGAAATCTCCCCCCAAAGCTCTCGGTTTACACCCAAACCAGGAACCAAGGAGACAGCCACGGGAGACGAAGGGAACCGCACGGACCAAAGAGCCACAGCCGCGGGAACCGAAGGAACCGCACGGAAGAAGGAGCCAGCCGTGAGATCCCAAGAGGCATACACATAAAACAACTTCCCATGGTGGAATTCAAGGAGCCACACATGGGAAGACTAAACACTATCTTGGATTCCCAAAAGCCATATTTTGGAAATCCAAGAGACAACTTTTAAGACATTAAAAACTATAATAAAAGTGCATTTAAATAAAGATAAATATGAACTAAAATTGTTAGCTCATAATGAGCTAACCCTTAGTTCAATAAATGAACTAAAGTTCAGCTCATAAATGAACTAAAAGTTTAGCTCAAATATGAAAAACTACTAGACTCAAGGGAAGCCAAAATATGATTTATTTTGGACTAGTGTTGACCCCCCCTTTGTCTACATCAAATTACCTCCCACAATTCCCTCTCATCCAATTTAATTTTCCATGTTAAAATTTGAATTTAAATTCAAATTCATCCTGCTAATTCCACTTGATCTGAAAATTAACTTCAGATTTCTATTCTCTCTCCCCCAAATTGATTTGGGATTTAATTAATCTTGCCACCTAGGTAAGTAAATTAATCTCAAGACTATTTCTCATTGTTATTCCCAAATTTTTCTGCTATACTCTTCAATTTCTACATCCAGAAAGCCGAAACGCAGCAGTTCTTCATGCTAAACTGCTGTCCAGAATTTTTCTGGATGCACTGTCCTGAGATCCGATCACCCCTAGAGCTGCTGCCAAGGTTCCTAAGGTCAAGGCGTGCTATCCAAACTTTCGTACCAGCTGTCTGAAGGTTTTGGTTCGCTGTCCAGGGAAGTTTGCACATGTTTTCTTG